ATTGGTTGGTCCATCGGGATCTCGATGGTGTGCGCCTAGAAGTACGACCTTAGTCTTTGGGCTGCCATCAATAGAGCTAGCACAAGCTTTTCCATTTTTGAGTATCTTTCTTCGGCTCCTCGGAGGGCCTTGTTGCAAAAGTAGACTAGCTGTTGAATTCTTTTTTTGTCTTTTATCGCTAACCGAGAATTCTGATACGACCAGATAGAGGGTTATGATGTCTCCTTCTTTAGGACTTACCAGCAGGGGTGGGGAGGCCAAATAAGCCTTGAGGGCTTGAAAGGCCTCGTCGCATTTCTCGTCCCACCGGAAGACTGCTTTTAACACTTTGAAGAAGGGTTGGCATTTATCGTTGGATCGCAAGATGAAGCGGTTAAGCGCCGCTATTCTTCCTGTTAGGCGTTGCATTTCCCTGGTGTTGGTAGGGGGTTTCATTTCGAGGACGACCTTAACCTTTTTGGGATTTGTTTCGATGCCCCTGCTATTGACTATAAACCATAGGAACTTCTATGCTAATACCCCAAAGGCCCATTTTGCCGGGTTCAACTTCATTCTGTATTGGCGCATAATCTCAAAAGATTTCTCGAGGTGGTGGATATGGGATTCGGCCTTAAGTGATTTTACCAGCATATCATCTATGTAGACTTCCATGGTTAGACCGAGCTTTTCGTAGAACATTCTGTTGACGAGTCTCTGATAGGTAGCTCTGACATATTTTAAGCCAAAGGGCATCACTTGGTAGCAATATAACCCTTGTTCTTTGATGAACAATGTCTTCTCCTAGTCATTGAGGTCCATTCTGATTTGATTGTAGCTCGAAAATGCGTCCATGAAGTTGAGGAGCTCGTGGCCAGCGGTTGCGTTGACAATCAGATCTATTCGAGATAAGGGAAAACTATTCTTGGGGCATACCCCGGTTTAGGTCGGTAAAGTCGATACAAAGTCGTCATTTGCTGTTCACCTTTCTTACAAGCACGACATTGGCCAGCCAAGTCGGGTAATCAACCTCCCTGATGGTCTTGGCCCGCAGCAGCTTAGCCACCTCCTCGTTGATGGCTTTTTGCCTTTTTGGCGCGAAGCTTCTTCTCTTCTGCCTGAACGGTTTGCAGTTTGGATCAACACTCAAACAATGTACGATCACTGCGGGGTCTATTTCCTCTTGTTTTCAGGCGAAAGTATCAACATTTGCCTTTAGGAACGAGATGAGCTTCTCCTTGATGGGCGGGAGCAACATTGAACCTATGAACACCACGTGCCCCGGGTCTTCGTCCAATTGTACGGGCTCCAACTGCTCCGTAGGGGTAGGCCTGGTATCTAATTCGTCTCTCATGTCCAGGTCCTCGAGCTGGACCGACTCCACCTCCCTTTGTTTAATCGACGCAACGTAGCATTCTCTGGCCAAGCATTGGTTCCCCCTGACCATGCCGACCCCATTCTCCGTGGAAAATTTCACTACCAAATGATATGCTGAAGGTATTGCTTTGATGGAGTTGAGAGATGGCCTACCCAATAGGATGTTGTAGACGGATGGAGTGTCGACTACCAGGAACCGAGTGGTGGTAGTAGCCTGGCAGGGCTGTTTCCCGACGGTGAGGATGAGTTGGATGGATCCAACTGGCAGGACCTTTTCGCCTGAGAAACCTATTAGGTGGGATTTCACAGGTTCGAGGTTTGACCTTTCTATGCCCAGTTGGTCGAATGCCGACAAGAAAATGATATCAGCGGAGCTTCCATTGTTGATGAGTATTGTGTGCACGGTTTTGTTGGCGATGATCGCCTTTATGACCAGGGGGTCGTCATGTGGCTACTGGCATTCTCCGAGGTCTGCATCCGAGAAAGTGATCTCCATTTCTCGGTGAGGCATCTTTCGTATGGTATGGATTTCAAGGTGATCTTCTGAATGTGCCTTCTGAGCATGTGTTTTACGTGCTAAGTTGGACTCGCCTCTTCCGGCGAACCAGCCAGAGATTACGCGAATTTCGCTAAGGGTTTGTTGGTGCTGCTGAGGGGGTTCTAGGGCAGCTCGGTCTTCTCGGTCTTGATTATTCTGAGCTCTTCCATCTGCCGCCAAGTAGTGGCGCAGGTGTCCCCTCTAGATCAGATATTCTATCTCTTTCTTGAGTTGTATACAATCGTTTGTCTTGTGGTCGGTGTCTTTGTGGTACTCACAGTACTTAGTGGCGTTCCGCCTGCTAGGGTCAGATTTCATTTGCGGTGGCCATCGGATGAACCTTTCATTTTGGACCTCATGGAGGACTTGAGCGATCGAGGTGACAAGGGGTGGGAGTCGAGCTGGAGCATACCACGGCTGTAGCTCCTGCAGAGGAGGTCCTAGTCGATCTCGGACATTTCCTTTTCTTTTAGGGGAAGACTCTTTTCCTCTTCTCAGAGAGCGGTCTCTTCTTGGGGACCAGTCGCGCCTCTTCTCTCTTTTGGGGCTATGGTCTCGCTTCTTCTTGTCCCCTTCCGGTGTTACCGAACTCCCTTTTAGCTGAAGAGCTTCTTCTCCGTTGATGTACTTTTCAGCCTTTGCTAACACCTCGGCTATAGTAGCCTAAGGGTTCTTGGCAATTGAGAAGAGAAGGTCTTTGGATTGCACTCCGAGTCTTGACATAAAGGTGGTTAATGCGAATTTATCGTCCACGCTTTCCACCTTTAGGCATTCCTGGTTGAAGCGTTGCACGTAACTTCTGAGGGACTCATTTGGTCCCTGTTTGACGCTCAACAGGTGGTAGGACGGCTTTCTGTACATCCTTGCTCTAATGAAGTGTGATACGAACTGTATTGACAATTCCCTGAAGGAGGAGATTGATGCCGGTTGTAACCTATTGAACCAAGCTATTGCCGATCCCTTCAGGGTGATGGCAAAAGCTCGGCAACGAATCGGGTCAGGATACCCCTAGAGTTTCATCTGATTCTTGTAGGAGTTTAAGTGGTCGACTGGGTCTTTGGTCCCGTCGAATGCTTCTATCGACGGCATCCAAAACTTCTAAGGGAGAGGGAAATGGAGGACCTCAGGTGTAAATGGTGACTTGGTTTGCTGGACTAGGGCATCCATGGTGTCAAAGACCTTTCCTTTAACCTCTTCTTTCACGTTGCTCAGCTCTAGTTGGAGTTCACGGATTCTCTACTCCCCATATGCGATCATTGGTTTCGAATGGGGGATGAGGTATGTCTTGTTGGAAGGCAGCTGTGGCTCGGCTATGGGCCTCGTCCTCATTTTGTCCTCTGGGATGTCTCCTCCAATGGTTTTTTCTGGAGTGGTTGTGCTCGTGGAGCTCTATGACCCCATTTGGTGGAGGTTGGTGTCCTCAAATGGGAGCCCCGTGACTTACTGGCGGTGGAGGGAGCTCTTGTTGAGCTGGTGGGAATGAAGGGAGCTGGTGAGTCCATATCCATTCCAACATCTCCTGGTTCTGTTTCATAAGTTGCATCGTGGTTCGGTGAAAAGTATCCACCCCCTCGAGAGGAGGAAGGTTCATCACTGTGAAGTGGTTTGCGATGTCCACTTCTGGAATCAGGGGATTCTCTGGCAGGTTCTGGTGGGCTTGAGGGTTGGCAGGAGCTTTACTCATATTCCAAGTTGAAACCATCAAATAGAAATCAGATAAGGAAACGATGAAAATCGTTACCACAGATGGCGCCAACTGATGGTGCTCGGATTTTAGGACCCAAGCCCGATTATGATGGGATGACGTTACGAAATGGCTCTACAGATCATGGATTTGTGATTAGTTAGACTAGGAATATAAGTAGTTCACCTTAGTCGAAGGACAAAGGCTACGTCAACTATCAACAGAGCTTCTTGCTCACTAGATTTATACATTCATCGATTGGCGAAATGCCTCTTGTAATTTTGGGGACTCGCGGTCCACTTACAAAGGGTAAGGGGCTAGATATTCTTTCTTATTTTTCTGCGTTCTTTGGCTTTTAGTGTTCACTGATCTTTGTTTGGGGGAGATGGAGTTCTTTTCTTGCCTGGGTTATCGTTATCCATTTATACCAACTTCTCCTAGGGCCTCCAACTAACCTGCTCCCCTCCTGCTTCTCCTGCCACTACGATTGCTGTTCATCCAACGCTGTCGTTGTCATGATCTCTGGCGGTCTGGTGCTCCACCTTCTTTGAGATTTTCGTAGGTGTCAGGAGTAGTCCCCCTGAAACCCAGGATTTGTGGTCCCCTCAGCCGATCTAGAAATTGCTTGGACTGGACTTTCCTTCTCCAAACCGCTCTATGGTTTGGACTGGGCCTAGATAACTGGGTTATAGACTTTTTGCCGATACTAAGTCCTTTCTTGTTTCGGGTCTCTTGGGCTGGTCAGACCTCTAGGCTATCAAAGCCCTGGCCTTGAGTTTCGTTCGTATCAGGTGGAATCCTTGTAAAGGGTTATCATGCAAATTAAATTAATAATCAAGGTCTTTTGTTCTTGCATAGATACAGTCATTTTTTGTGGGTATGATAACTTCAATAGTATTTAAAAAATCCACATTAATAATGTTAAGTTTGAAAATTTTGGACCCGTTTTCTTTTTTTCCTCTTTTTATCGCAATCTGATTTTAAAAGTCTAATTCGATAATCTGACGAATTTTATTTTCTTATTCCTTATCTGAATCCGTTAACAATTCTAATCCGAATAACATAATTAACTAAATTTTTATAAATTTTACCTAAATCTATGCTAGTCCAATCATCAAGATGGCGCAATGCTCATAAATATAATAGCAAATAAGCAGAACGAATTCAGCTCCATGTTCTGACCTCCTTTGCAGCTTTATTTTGTAGGATCAACTATAGTAACATACCAAATGCATCATTGGATTGGGATAGGCAGGAGGAAACACAATTGTGTATGATGAGAAACCTGTACATCTAGCTAACTTACTGAACATATCTTTTGCAAACAATACTTCTACACCACATTCTCACAGTAAAAAAATCTCCCAACTAGAATCTGATTGTAGGGGTGGTGTTTCCTCCTTGTTGAAAGTGAAAATTAAAACGTCACTCGACTTCAAGGGCTGCAATCTCATACCTGACTTCCTCCAAATGTTCATTTATGGCAGTGACGGCATCCTGGACACCTTTAATGGCTTCCTTGAGGGCATTATCATATTTGGCATCTGCCTCTGCCTCTTCAGTTCCAGCAGCTTCAGTTATTTCGTGGACATGCACACAATTGTGCTCCATTGGCCTCGTGAATCTGCAGTTCTCATGGCTCACCAGACGTTCTGAAGGACGACCCGCCTTCTTCAACACCTGAATTGTTGCTGTCTATTGACCAGTGGAGAATATTTGTCAAAAAAAAAAAACCAAAGTTTTGCATGGGAAGAAACAACAGCAGATATTTCAGTATATTAGAATCGTGTAAATGAAAGTTTCTTGAACATAAAACAAAATAAAGAATGGTCAATCAACTACTTGTTAGTAATCAATCAAATACTTAATGTTGCCATAATTCTTCCCCTTCCATCTAGAATGATCAAAACAAAACATTGCTCAAAGCAAAACCATGAAATATATTACGAATTTAACATCAATAATAAAAGCAAGAATATATTTAGTTTATCCCACAAACTTACAAAACAAAGTCTTATTCTTAATTTTCAACATTTTTCATTTCTTTTCCAAAACTGCTCTACTAATATTAGAACAACCTAAAACTGAGTTTGTAATTTCTTAATTTTACTATACTCTTTTGCTATGCAGAAAATAATAATGAAGGTTTGGTTCTATTATTATTTTTAATTATTCTCAGGTAGAATTGAATTAGTGTTTATTACACACATAGATGTAGTGGCTGAACAATTGTATATCTTTTACTCTTTAATGTAATAGAAAAATAATAACACAAAAATCTCAATATGTTAAACATGGGTCTTGATTATGAGGTTGAAATAATCAAATCAGGTGAAGATATAATTTTTTTTTTTGTTAAATAAAGCTTAAATCTATTTGAACGGCAATTTAGGGGATTTTGGGCTGAAATTGCGCCAGTTGATCTGCCAATACTTTTCAAAGTCCTAAAATATTGACTGAATTTCTAAAACCACAAGGAGGAACTTGCAAATTGTCAAATGCCATAAGTGGTTTTGTATAAGTTACCCTTAAATTTAAAACAATGAACAAATCACACATTCTATGCACATGTTGGACACCAATACTCATGTTTGTGATTGTTACACACAGTCATCACACATTCCATGCACATGTTGGACACCAATACTCATGTCTGTGATTGTTACACAAGACTCGTTTGACCAAAGTCAATGATTAGAATAAAATATCGGGAGCAAAGACACTCTAAAACGCAATATGATCCCTAATTTCACAAATAATGGATAGATGTGTAAAGATCAGTCAGGATTCAAATTCATCCACATCAATGTAACTAATTCAAAGCAGCTATGGATATACGGCATCCAAAAAGGTCTAGTCAATCTCCAAAAATAATATACAACTCTCATTCATGCTGAGATGATCAATAGTAATTTTCAAATTCAAAACGTATTTGGTAATCACCCAGCATTGTTAACCAACATCTGAATTATTCAATCCCCTATCAATCTGCCAGATGTGTCTGCAGTATAGCACTACTACATGCTCTTCTAAAGTTTGAGATTTATGTAATTATGTTTATGTTATGACACATTGTTGACCACAATGTCGAGGCACTAGCTAGAAAAAGTGATAGAATTTATCTTAATGGTACTAGGAGTAGGGGTAGACCTAAATTAACATTGAACGAAATAATAAGAAAATATTTAACTTAAATGAACGTATAGCACATGACCGAAATGAATGACAAAGATGGACTCATAAAGCCGACCCCAAATGATTGGGACATAAGGCTAGGTTTGGTTTGGTTTGTTGACCACAATGACAAAGTAGAATTCCTATAGCTGCCCAAACAGTTTTTCTTGTTTTTGTTAATGCACATTAGCACTAAACAACTTCAGAGAATAGACTAACTATGCATCTTCCTTGGTGAGGAATCACATTCGAAGCATTATTTTTCAACTAAAGAAAAGGATTTTAAAATCGCAATAGAGAGAGAGAGAGAGTCCTAAAATGGAAATGTTGGAAGTGCTTTCCCTTCTCAAGTGGTACATGATTGGTGACTACACCACTCACTTCACAGATAAACAAGTGCATAGAAGAGTAAAAACAGAGAGCAAATTGTCACCCAATTGCACTATACTCTAACATAGTTTCATGAAAAATGTTGGAGACAGGGATGCAACACAAATTAGATATATTGTACTAGTATTCGCATATTCTTCCAGGCTCAGGCTCAGGGTCCCATCATTGAAACTCTAAATTTAGCCATTCTGCAGAGTAATGAAGCCACAACTAACAATTGTTTCGGAAAAAAAAAAAAATTATGGTGATTGTGGGAGTTAGATTTGAAACATCTAAAAAAAAAAGAGTCTGAGCACAGACATATTCAAACAGTTTCTCTCAAAAAGCTTTTGTTCTGAAATAGATACCAGATAGACTTTTAATGCTCAGTGCGCCACTATTGTAAAAGCAAAAGCAATGTGGCCTAGTGACCAGCCAAAAGAGTGTCAGTATAAATGAATGGGAAGCAGCCCCTGTTTATATTTCTAAAGCATGCTTATTTCATCCCCCACGTACTCCTCTATTCTCTTATTCTTCTTGACATTATTTTTTTTGGACAACCTCCTAAACATTCGTTGAACAGAAGTTTCATTTCCTAACTTTCAAGGCCTCTGACCTTTGGATCCTAGACTGATTACATGAGAGTTCCCAGCACGGAATAACTAGAAGAAAATTGAAAACATGGGTGAAGACATACGAGATGCAACTTTTGCTTTTCCTGTGTCTGAATGTCTCTGAGCAGGCAAGCTAGATCCTCTCGGCAGTAATCAGGGCCCACAAACAATGACTCCAGTTCAAGAACCTGCACTAGTGGATAAAGTTAAATCAAACAAATGACCTGGGATGCCATTAGGGGAACTCTGAAACTATTACTGCAATCATGTCACAAACTTGTTTCGAGCAATCATTAAATTCTACTGTAATCTCGCTACAAAGTTGTTGGTAGGCAGATTCCCCTCCTGATACCATATAGTCTGCAAAGCCCCTGCCATTAGTGTTAGGTGCAGCATATTAGATCATTTAACAACATAATTCTGTATGGAAATAAGAAACTATGAGGTCAAAAAGAGCATGACAAAGGCTTCCTTCCCAATTTTCTTTTCCACCAGAAAAAAGACAAAATTAACAAATAAATAGAGGAAAAGAAAAAAAGCAAAATATTGATTAGCGCAGGCATGTAAGGAAAATGCTAGGAAATTTTATTAAGCAACTTGTGCAATGTTATTTCCCTCAAAAAATGGATGCTATTGCTTCAGAAAACTGCAGGAAATGATAGCAGCAATATAAATTTGAAAAGAGAACATCAACACTCCTTATCTCACACAAGCGTAGGAAGTAATTTCAATAGCTTGCCTCTGAGGGCCCAGCCCCATATTAGTTTCTGTCAGTTTAAATAACTAATTAAAAGTTATTTCAAAGTCCATTTCTAAGGCCCACTTATCAATACAAACATTAAGATTTGGGCTGTTGAAGCAGTCTTTATGTCATTTCTATTGGCCCTTTGAATAAAGAATTCTCATCAACAACATTGTTCAAGGAGCTGATTTGATCTTTCAAAGTTTCATCACAGCTTTGACTTTAGATTGATCAGCCACACGTAGCAAAAGTTAACAACAGTGACATCGATCAGAAGATTGCTTTAGGACAAAACTTTCATTTCATTGAAAGAGGAAAAAATACATCAATGGTGGATAAGAAATCCACCGAGAAAACAAAACAAAGCAAAGAAAACCAAAAATAGAACAAACAAAATAAAAATCTAGCCACTACAAACAGCTTTCCAATTGTATTGGACTACTGATAACGTAGTTCCATAAAACTCCTTTGTGACCACAGCCCATAAAGAAGTCACAAACTTGACTCTATCCATAGCAATTCATTGTCCTCCTATTTTCCTTAAAAAATTCTGTGGTTTCTCTCTATTCAAACAACCCAAAAGATAGCCAATATTGCGCAGCTCCATAAAATAGAAGCTTTTTTTACCACTTCCAAAACCTTCAAAGTACATCACCAAAAGAGAAGCAAAATCAGTGTAACCCATACCAAATCTGTCTCCACCAACAAACTATGCCACAAGAAACGACCAGTAAAGGAATAAATGGTCAACACTTTCACAGCTATTCTAGCATAAAACACACCAATGAGGAGAAATATAAGTGTTTGGCCTTCTCTTTTGCAACAGATCACAAGTATTCACCTTTCTTTGAGCAATCATCCAAGCAAACATATTTACTTTAATAGGAATTCTTGCCTTCCAAATCATTGAATGAGGTTCAAATATAGAATCATTGGGCTCATCAATTAACCAGTCAAAATAGGAACAAGAAGAAAACATTACGGATGAATCAAGAGACTAAACTCTTTTATCACTAATTGACGAGTTTAAAGAAACCAACTCAAGCAACGAAAAGAAGAGAAGAACACTCTAGAACATCCCAGTCATTTATATTGCAGAAGAAATCCAAATTCCATCCCATGAGTTAAAGATGAAGAATAGTACACTCGAGCAACAAGATTATTATGAGACCCCGACAATCTGAAGAGACAAGCATATTGTATAGCCAAGGACAACTCACCAATCCAAACATCCTCCCAGAATCAAACTTTGTCCCAATTCCCCACCCTCAAAGCTACATGTCCTCTAAAATCATCCAAAACTTGAGAGAGAAATTTCAAGGATTACGAAAGGAACCTCGAGTCACCACATTAGAGTGTCATCTATTGGAATGGATTCCATACTTACTTTTGATAATAGAATACCATAAAGAATTAGGTTCTAATTGAAACCTCCAAAGCCATTTTGCTAATAATGTCACATTCCGCTTAGTCAAGGTGCCTATAGTCAACCCCCCTTTTGTTTTAGACTTTGACACCGCATCCCACCAAACAAGATGATATTTCTTCCTTTCTCCACTACCTTCTCATAAAAAATCTCTCATCAACTTCTCTAAAAGTTTAACCATTTTTTAGAATCTTAAAAATGGACATAAAATAAGTAGGAATACTACTCAATACCGCTTGGATCAAGGTTAAGTCTCCCACTTCTAGACATAATTTTTCTTCCATCTATCTAATCGTTTCTTCACTCGCTCAACAACAAGATTCCAAAAATTGAGGGATAATCCAAAGGAAGCCCCAAATATTTAATGGTCATTCACTCACTTCACAACCTAATCCCCTTGCCCAAACCTCAATCCCACTACTATCAACATTAATACCCAAAATAGAGCTCTTAGACATATTAACCTTCAACCCCGAAATTAAGTTGAAAATCCTCACAATTTCAACCAAATTTAAAATTTATTCTTATCCACTAACAAGAAAAATATGGTATCATTTGCAAACTAAAAGTGAAAAACATTAATCCTATCATTACCGACAAAGAAGCCTTCCACTAGATTGTACTCCATGCCCCTATCCACCAATTTACTTAGCCCATTCACCACTAATGTAAAAAGAAAAGGGAAAAAAGGGTCTTCTTGCCTTAAACTGCTATATGCATTAAATTTTCCACTCGGCTTGCCATTTAAAATCACCGAAAAATTCATAGTAGATAAGTATCCCTTAATCCATTTTCTCCACATATCCCCAAAATCTTTAACTTTAACACAAAATCTAAAAAATCTCAATCTACATAATCATATGTTTTTTCAAAATCAATTTTAAACCCCATCCCTTCCTTGCCTTTCATCCTATACTCCTCAACCACTTCATTGACCACCAAAAAATACTATCTAAAATTTGTCTCCCATAACAAAAACACTCTAATTTTTAGGATCTGTTTCCCCCAAAACACCCTCAGCCTCAAAGATAACACCTTTGCTAAAATCTTATACAAGCTAGTAACAAGACTGATTAGTTTGAAATCACCAATTTTCAAAGAAATTTGTTTTTTAGAGATTAAAAAAATGAAAGTAGCATTAGTGTTAATCTTTAACCACATTCCAACTATCTTGGAATAAAGCTAAATAAAACCTATCAGGTCCTAGAGATTTGTCTTTACTACACTCAAACACAACTTTTTTCACTTACATCTCCTCAAAAGGCCTCTCTAGCCAACTAGCTTTCTGACTCCCCATAGGACTCCACTCCAACCCTTGCAATATTAGTCTAGATCTTTCTTGTGCTGAATAGAGGTCTCTAAAATATTTAATGGATTCCTCCTCAATACTCTTCTCATCCTCAAGCATCATACCACTAGAAGTTTCCAATTTGCTTATCAAATTCTCCCACCTCCTCCCATTTGCAATTCTATGAAAAAAATTTAGAGTTACAATTGTACTCTCTAAACCAAGTCACTTTTGCCTTTTGCCTCCAACTAATCTCTTCTCTAAAGACAACTTCTTCAAACTCATTCCTTAATTTTGATCTCTCCATTCTCAATTGATAATCCAAATCACCCAACATATCTACCCAGTCAAGTTCTGATATACGATTCACAATCATACTTTTCTCTAACCTCACATCACCAAACACCTCTTTATTCCAAATCTTAACTTTTTTCTTCACCCTTTTTTGCTTTTTCATAAATTTAAAACCGTCCTGTCCTTGGACCTCACTCTCTCTCCACCGATTATTAAAACTCTACTTAAACCTAGGGAGTTCTAACCACATATTCTCAAACTTAAAAAGAATTAGACCCCACTTAAAAAGCACTTGAATCTAAAATAATGGGGAAATGATGAGATACAACCCTAGCAAGGGCTTCTTCTCTCACTTCCGGGAAACACTCCTCCCAATCCAGAGAGAATAAAAATCTGTCAAAGCCTACAACATACAAGATTATCCCTCATATTAGTCCAAGTATAAGTTAAATTACCTAAACGTGGATCCCCCAATCTAGTTTCCCTAATCAAATTATTAAAATCACGAATGCTTCTAGTAATCCTCCCCCCTAATGACTTGTCAAATACATATCTTACCACAATAAAATCACCCCCAAACACAACCTAGGACCATGTAATCCATACAAACCCGCTAACTCTTCCCAAAAATCTCTCCTAAGCTAAGAAGCACAGAGACGGAGATGGAGATGGAGACGCATATGGATTCGAATACGTGATATGGGTACGATACAATACGGATACCAGCGATACGACAAAACTTTAAAAAATAGGATAGAGATACAACCAAGATACGCCTATAATAAAATATATTTTATATTTTACTATTATTTATCAACTGAAAATTTATAATTTTTAATAATTCTTTAGCTTGAAAAAGATGTAATACCGTCTTATTATAATATATCTGTAAAATGAGTTTGACAAATTAAAAGAATCAGAACCACATTTAACTAGTTGGTTTGTTTACAAGTATTTGTATTAAGATTATAGTGTAACTAACTCATTTTTTATGCTCATTTGACATGTAATAGTAGATAATACTTAAAAAATACTTGTGTTGTCAAAATTAGATAGAATTTTGCTAATATTTTGTATTGTATGTGAACTCAAAAGAAGGTATAGATTAAAATTAAAAATTGTACATCTTGCTTCATGTTTAGAAGTATCAGCAAAGTATCCAAATATTTTATTAATTATCGGATATGAATGATGCATAACCTCGAGTATTTGACGAGTATCATATCCGATATGGTATTGATGAAGTATCCACGCTTCATAGCTCCTAATCCTAGGACAATTGGGACCATATACCTCTGACAACCCCCATTCAAATCCATTGTTCATTCTAAAAAGAATAGAAAGAGTAAAATCCCCCGCAATAATTTCTATGGCCGACAACACTCTCACATCCTAAATAATAACCAGCCCCCAGAATAATAACCAGCCCACAGATTTACTACATGAACGTAAAGAAATCCATTCCTTGAACCAAACACCCCAAAGATTAGAAACAATTCTTCTATCAATAACCTCTCTCTTAGTTTCTTGCAACACAACATCTGATTCCGCCTTAATCACAACTTTCTTTATAGAGTTTGTTTTCTTTTTATTCCCTACTCCCCTCACATTCCAACTCATAATCTTCATAAAACAACTTTATCTTCTCCAACTATTTTCCTAACACTGTCCCTCTTATAATTTACCTTAGATTCAAAAATTTTTAACTCCCTCAAAACCCTTATTTTTTTTATTAAGAGCTATTGAAGTCACGGGAATGCAATTCTAGGAAATAAACCAAGGAGCGGGCTAGGTGTGGTAAAAATTTGATCCTTAGAAGAACGAAATCTTTACAAAAGTGATTGGATGCAACACAATAGTTATAGAGAGTGGTGGATCAGACTCAAGGGGAACTAAGCCATGACGGGGAGATTGTTCGATATTTTGATGGGTGAGGATCCCATATCGGATTAAAAAAAATGGAAGTGTCCTAATATACCGTGGATGGACCGAGTCTTGGGTATCACTGGCTCCATGTTCTCCCAACACACATCAAAATAAAGCCCAGGTTAAATATTTATCCAATCTATTCCTCCTAGTGCCACGATTGATGGGAACATACCAAGTAAACAGCCATTTAAGCGAGAACATATTAGAGCATCTCCAATCCTTACCTTTTTTTAAACCCAAATTTAAATTTAGGTAAAAAACTCTTAAAAACCTTCTCCAATGCTAAACCCATACCCATACCAAATGAAGGGAGACTAATTTTTTTACTCAAATCAAAAGAGACTCAAATTCATACCCAAATCGATTTCACTTTCCTTTAAAGATATAATAGTCATATTTTACCCTTTTTAAAATTTGATTTTATCCTTATTTAAATTTGAGTTTGTTTTCCTTTAAATTTGAGTTTTTCCTTTGTAGAGGTCTATACCAAATCAAGATTTTTAGACTTTTTTTCTCAAATTTGGGTAAGAGTCTAGGTTTCCATTGGAGATGGTCTTCGATTCAAAAGCACCATATGGATTTTCAATTGGATTATTCTTAAATTGGGACTAATGGAAGAAATTGCCCATACAAATTGGGTTCATTCAAATGAAATTGTGGAACCTTAAATTTGTTTAATATCTGAGGAAACAAGACCCTCATAATATATAATATGCAAAGCCCAATAAGATTCTCTTTTTTCTTTTGTCTTCTAGGGTTTTTCTGTTATTTTCTCTCTCTCTCTCTCTCGCTCTGCTGTTCTTGGGTTTTCTCAGTGAAAATACGAAATGGGCAGCAGGAAAAATAAGTGCAAGAGGACGTACCTTTTAAGTTTGGCGTAAGTTTCGGCTCTGCGCTGCTGAACTGAGAGGAATTGTCGAAGCAGATCCACGATTTTGGCGGAAGCAAAGCCATTTTCGATGTCCATATTGTCTGAGATCACCACTTTCTTCTCAAAATCTTCCATTGTTTGCAACTTCCAAACTCTCTCTCTCTCTCTCTCTCTCTCTCTCTCTCTCGTTATGGGGATTGGGGAACTGGGATTCAAAAGCTTAATTCAGATTTACATTTCTTTGCTGACACCGACAGCATTTTGTCTCAATCTCGCTAATGTTCGTGGGGTTGTAAATATGGCTAATCACTTTAGTAGCATTCCACCAGCATCTGGTTTGTCTTGTGGGAGAATATACAATGTCACGGTTGTTATACGACGTAACGATGGTGACATAATCTTCTCGTCGTCTTTGACGGCATACACCAGCAAATGAGAACTTGGGTGGTCTTCCTGGTCTTAACTCTTAACCTAGCTCACACAATTCGTCCAAATACCTCAACAAATTTGTTGATCGCATATTCACTAGCTGATTTGTAAGCCCCGTGTACTTAATTATAATGTATATTAAATTATCATTTATCCTAAGATTAATAATATTTTTGATTCTTAAACTATATATTTTTTATCAATTTAATTTTTATTGTATCAATTTTATTAATTTAGTCTTTGAAACATTTAATTCGTGTTATTTTAATCCCTAACGTAAACGAATCATTAAGTTTTTGATGGAATGGTCACGACGTAATACCGTTTAAAAATATAACATGTAGTCATTTTCATAAAAAAAACTTGGGGTTAATTATAAGTTGTACCTTAAAAGATAGTTGGAATCTTAAATTGTACCTCCAAAGATCAAAATTTTCAATTTGCATCCTCAAAAATAAAAATCTCAATTTACACTCTCAAAGATAGAAATTTGTATCAATGTGCATCTAAAATTAAATTGATAAATTATACCTAGATTCTCTCATGCTTGTCACTTAATCATTTGGATCCCTTCACATTTAAAATATTACTCCTACATCTCATGATGTGTGTGCGCGTGTAATACGTAACTTCATTTCATTGATATCTATTAATATAACCGTTAAAAAATATGATTTTATCCTAATAAAAAATATAATGTCTAATGGTAAACTTAATTTTGAACTTTAAAATATATCGAACCCACAAAATAAAGGGTAATATGAAATTATAATTTTTTATTAGGATAAAATCATTTTTTTTAACGGTTATATTAACAGATATCAATAAAAAAAGATTACGTGTTACACATGTACAAACGTCATGAGATGTAGGAGTAATATTCTAAATGCGAAGGAGTTCAAATGATTAAGTGACAAACATAAGAAAATCTAGGTATAATTTATCAATTTAGTTTTAAGTGCACATTGATACAAATTTCTATTTTTAAGGGTGCAAATTGAGATTTTTATCTTTGAGGATGCACATTGATACAAATTTTTATCTTTGAGGATGCAAATTTAGATTTTTGATCTTTGGGGGTGCAAATTGAAATTCTAACTATCTTTCGAGGTGTAACTTGCAATTAATCCAAAAAATTGACAAATTGTCTGATTAAGGACCAAAGTGATACGGATTGAATATTTTAAGCATCAAATTGACAAAATTGATATAATAAAGACTAAACTGACAAAAAATACATACTTTAGGAATTAAAATCGTCGACTCTCTCTCTCTTTTCCTCACCCATAAATCGTCGAATTTCTCTCTTTCTCCCCCTCTCTTAACATGCCTTACTCCACACATTCAAGTATCTCCTTTCAGCATCTCAACGTTTATTGCCCTTGTTCCTTGTGGCTTTTCGTATTCTAGGACTTAATGTATGAAGTTGAAATGCCTATATTACTAATCGCTTTGAATCTCCCAATCCCTTCACTCCAAATTGGAATTTGAATCACTCTAGGCATTTTTACACACTCCATTGCAAGCAAACACTCCGTTGAGGAATCGACCGTCTATTTCTTGGTATAGTTCTATTATGAACAAAAACCACAAACAAATACTCGCAACGAAATAGAAAAATACAGAATATAAATTTATGTGGATTGACTCTACAGCCTACTCTACGGGCAAAGCGTAGAAGCAAAGTTTCACTATCAATAAAAGATGATTACACAAAATTCTCTAATTGGTCTTTTACTTGAAGTAGAATTCTAAGACATCCACATTTTTAAATCTCTAAAGAAAACAAAGTTCAAATCAGTTTCCTACTATGATTGAAATACAAGACACCCACAACAAATCTCCACCTTGGCTTGTATTTTATTAAATCATCAAAATGAAAGTGAACGAATTAGTTGCCTTTTCCACAAATCCCGTGAAGGATTACAAATATCACAAGCATCCATAACAAATCTCCACCTTGACTTGTGTGTCCACCAAGCCATCAAATTAAAAGTGAATTTTGTAGCTGCCTTCTCCAGAATAGCAAATATATTAAGTCTTCATTAGCGTTGATTGAAGGATCCAAAAGCCTCATCCAAATTTTGTCACCGGAGTTTTTGTCGGTTGGAATTTTTAGTAGACCTCCGTTTTTTTTTTGGATAGAAATTCCTTATAAATAGAGAGCTTAATGAAAGCCAAAATCATTCCAAAAATTAGTGAGGAAGAAAGAGAGATAGAGAGTTCCTGGAGAGGTCTTGAGAGTTTTCTTCTATGAAAAATTATTGTATTTATTTCTAGAGAAAAATAAAAAATTCTTTTTTATTTATATTATGTTAGACGTGATTTTCTGGGCCTGGGTAACTAACAAGTGGTATTAGAACTTTGGTTGGGTTGCCAAAATTTTTTCAACTCACAGTTCTTGGTTCGTATGAGTTCTAAACAGACTCGAAATTAAATTATGATCGAACCATTAGATTCCCCTTGTTGAAACGAGTCAAAGCCCATTGGCCTCGCATCAATCCAACTTCGGATGCCCTCTCATGCTCCTCTCTAGAAGTTCGCCGATCGCCAGGGAAGACTATCGGAGTTCGCCAGAGTGACTATTGAAAGTTTGCACGGACCGGCGATCGAAGGAAGGTTGAAGACAATGGAATTTTCCACCTCCGTCAGGGAATATTCTTTCCAGTCAGAGAATATTCTATTCAGTCAAAGAATATTCTCAGAGAATATTCTATTAGGAATATTCTGTCACCATCAGCATGTTCCGTCAAGTTTAACGGAATATTCCGATAAGTTTATTAAAAACTTTCCAGTTCAGTTTTGAGCTTATTTTAGCTCCGTTTTTGGTGAACCAAGACTCTTTTCAAGTTATTTCGATCATTTTGAATGCAACGGTGCACTCCATTCTACGTAATTCAGTCCCAAAATTTTTGATTGAGACATTTAGAGCCTAAAAATACAAAATGTTCATGGAGGAATCAACGTCGGGAGCCATGATCAAACTCACTGCCTCCAATTATACACTTTGGAGACCTTAAATGGAAGATCTCTTAACATGTAAAGACTTGTACGATCCCTTGGAGGTAAAAGGTGTAAATCCAGATCCTATAAAAGAAATAGAGTGAAAGAAACTGAACAGAAAAACCATTGGTCAAATCAAGCATTGGATTGACCACAATGTATTCCACCATGTTGCACAAGAGACTGATACCTATGTTCTTTGGAAAAAGCCAGAAGACATGTACCAAGCGAAAATAACTCAGAATAAAACATTTTTGATGAGGCAGTTAGTGAATCGAAAATTAAAAGGTGGAACTTCAATTACCAAGCATACCAGTGAATTTTATAGCCTGGTAAATCAATTATCATCTGTAGAACTGAAGTTGAGGATGAACAACAAACCCTCCTACTTCTCAATTCTCTACTAGATAGTTAGGAGATGTTGATAGTCTCTCTCAAAAATTAGGCATCAGGAGGCAAACTTACCATGTTAATGGTTAAGGATGTCATGTTCAATGAAGAGGTAAGGAGAGAGGACGCAAATATTGACCAATCATATGTTATTGTCACTGAGAGTATAGACAGATAGCAAGGAGGTAACAGAGGCAAGGGAAGAGGAAGGAGTAAAAGTAGAAGAAGGTCACAAGATCCAGGGAGATCAAATGATGGTGGAAGACTCGCATACAAGTATTACCATTATGTCATGCAAGGCCACATGTAGAAAAACTACTGCAAGTTGCTACGAGAACAAGACCAAGGCAATAATCAGTCGAAGAAACTAGACAGATGTAGCCATTCTTTCTGTCAATGAGGAGATACACCTTCATGTTCCTAGCCAAGATGCTGAGTGGGTGGTAGATATTACAACTTCTTACCACGCTACTTCTCACATCAATTTCTTCTCAATGTACAAAGCCAGAGATTTTGGCACGGTGAAGATGGGAAATACCAATTCTTCCAAGATCGTGGGAATTGATCTTCAAATAAAAACAAATGTTGGTTGTACAATAGTATTGAAGGAAGTTCAACATGTGCCTAACATGACTTTACAAGACCCAGGTGAAAGTTTGCATAGGCAGCCTCAATGCAATTGAAAATGGAGCTTCACTAATTTGTGGCACCAAAGATTCGGTCACATGGGAGAGAAATGATTGTTTACCTTAGCAAAGAAGGATCTCATCACAGTCGCCAAAGATGTTGCTCTAAATCCTTTCGAACATTGTTTGTTTGGTAAACATCATCGAGTCTCATTCAGTTCCTCTATGAGGAGGAGATCAGAGTTGTTAAGTCTAGAATATTATGATGTTTGCAGTCCCCTGGAGGTGGAATCATTAGGCCAAAATAGATATTTTTTGACCTTTATTGATGATGCTTCACGGAAGGTGTGGATGTACTTCCTAAAGACAAAGGATCAAGTACTCGAATACTTCAAAAGTTTCCTTGCCATGGTAGAGTGGAAAAAGGGAAAGAAGTTGAAGTGTCTCTAAATAGACAATAGAGGCGAATACACTTCCAAAGAGTTTAAAGAATACTGTGTTAATTGCAGTATCAGACATGAGAAGATAGTTCCATGAACCCCACAACATAATGGTGTAGCGGAAAGGATGGATCGAAACATTATGGAAAGAGTTCGATGCATGCTCAGCATGACAAAGCTGTCGAAGTCGTTGTTCTTGCCACTTGTTGTTTGATAAACAGATCATCGTCAGTACCATTAAATTTTG